TATATATATATAGTGTCATAGACAGTGTTTGTGTTGAGGCTAAAAAAATTCAGTTCTCTCTGCACATTTTATTTAATAAACACAATAAGACTTAACCATGACTGCTGAGGTTTTTCGCTTTTTAGGATTTCTTTTCATCAAATACACATGCAAATTAAAATACAAATTTAATGCACAGCTAGTTGTAGAGTCTGTATCTGGTTAAATTATTCTTGAAAACAAAACTGTAATATGTGTTTGCAGAAGGGGGTGCATTAAATTGTGATATATTATAACTGCACAGAACTTAATTTAGTAAAAAAAATCAGAGGCACCATGCAAACAAAAGCAAGGCAAGCATAAATTATTACATTTATATTGATTATATCTGTTCATTATGCCTATTCTCTTTTACAAAAATAGTTGTATTTATTGTAATTTTCGTACCCATGGCCCATCTCTGATAAATTCAAGCTACCTGTCAGGCATGTGCTTAGCCAAGGCATTTACAGTCCAAAAGAAGGTCATAATAGTTTATGAAAGATTCCACGATAGCTGTCACATACTTGAGCTGTTGGGGGAAATGCTCTGTTGAAGTACTTGTTCGTTCCTCAGGATCCAAACTATCATTATTTTGAACAGTTTTCACTGCAAAGATGTATTTGTTACATTTGTGGGTTCTCACCCACAGCATTGCATTCAGGAGTTGCTGCTGTATATTTTCTCTCAATTTTTACTTGTATGCTACTAAAAAACATTTTTAAAACCATACTGCAGCTATATATTTTGTGATCTTCAAACATGAGTACACACGAGGGATTATCATCTGACCCATGAGTCCGGAGTCTTTCTGACACAGCTGCAGTAAAACACTGTCACGTGCAACACTTGGAAGTGATATCAATCTTAATTGTTTAATGACGCCATCAGGATAAAAAAAAAAAAGACTACTTTAAAACACCTGACTGCCAGTAGATAATGTTAGTCAGTCATTTTCAAGCTACAATGCAGAACCTGCTGTGGGTTGCCTGTCTGTATGTTTCATGTCTGTTTATTTGTCACAGCAGGGGGGTGAGCAGACAAGAGGAGTTTATGCTTCTTGCTGGTCCTCTGACAAAGCAGGTAGTGAGAGGATCAGGCAGTGGGGTGAATGATGCCTTTGACTGCAGTCACGCCATACCTCCAGGCTCTAAACAGTACTTTGAATCCCTTCAAAGCAAAGGGGTGACTCACTTCAAGGTGCCGCTATCATGGGCTCAAATCCTGCCTACGGGTCTCTCCAGTCAGCCCCGACAGGCTGTGGTTACCTGCTACCAGACCCTCCTGAGACAGCTGCTGGAGGTGGGCCTTCAGCCTCTGGTTGTCCTCCATGGATCCACAGTACCAGATGCTCTGAGATCAAGGTTTGGAGGCTGGGAGAGCCAGGAGCTGGTAGAGATGTTTCAGCAGTATGCAGAGTTTGCCTTCCAGGAGTTTGGCGCACTGGCACACTCCTGGGTGACACTGAGTGACTTGGATGATGTTTGGGATGAAGGGCAGCCTGCAGGTGCTCCCGGCTTTCTGCAAAATACCCTGCAACTCAGCAAGAACATTTACCAGCTGTACCATCAGCGCTTTCCTGATAAAGGTGAGGAAAAAAGATGGAGAAGAAAAGCATTTAAGATATTATTGACTGACTTAGTTAATGTTTTCAGGATCAGTCAGTTGTTACTATTTTTAATAGTTAAATAAAACAAGAAAAACATGTCACTTTCAGTATTATTTTAATAATATGTAATCAACAGCAGTTATCACTTGTAAAAAATGATGATTCATGACCAAATAATACCAAAACCACTATGTGCATTATGTTAAGAGTGCCTTTATGCTTCCATGTGGTTTCAGGGAGACGTCTGTCAGTAGGACTGAGAGCTAGTGACGTTGTTTCTCTTTCCCAGGTCAAAGCTTCAGCGACAGTAAGTTGCATCTTTTATTCTCCTTATATCTTTTTTGTGAATGTTTTCTTTTTTTATTGAGTTTACTTCCATTAATGATTTTTTTCAAACTAAGAAATAAACTTCAATATTTGCATACACTAAGGCAAGATGTTTGGCTATACTCGGTTAGCTAATTTGGATTTGGGAGTTTTCTCATTACTGAAGAGTCAAGACACTCAAATCACTCAAACACAGGGATGCTTTCTGGCCAGATACATTGGTCATGGGTGTGAATGTTAAGATTTAAGAGTTTAACAACTGGCAGCGTGTTCTGGATCAGAGCTTTACAAAGAAGTTAAAACGTTTAAAACTCCTGTTTCTTTAAAAAAAAAGAAAAAAAAAGAAACAGTGGTTCAGCATGTGAGGTGGTCCATTGCTCACTCTACCTGGAGTTCCTCCCTTATGATGCCCCTGCCTGCCAAACATCCATCATCAGCTGTAGCTGGGGTTATGGGGGGAAGCCAGAACTTATCTTATGTATGTAAGTGATGTATGATTGTTGCTGTTTGAATGGGCCACACTGCTCCACATGTTCTGGAGTTGTTTGACTGATGAATCCAGCTTCTTTGTGGGTTTCCTGTTGAGCTGCCTCCTTGTCCAAGAGTCCAGATAGAAGTGATGATCTTAATCTAGGCAGGGTCCTATTCAGATATTCTATCTTCAGCACGCTAAAAAGCATTTTGCCAACCTTAAAGATGTTTTACACCTCTCCTTATCTTAACCCTTGAAAGATAAGTGCTTAAAGATAATGTTTCAGCAATGTTCCCAATCTAATGACAGGCATTTCTAGTTTTTTTTATTTAGATGTCCTATTACCCACATTTATGTCTTCACTTTATGATGGAATATCAGCCTGTCCAAGGTGTTCCCTCACTCTGGCTCTAATGCCCTCTGTTTTCTGATATAAGAACCTGGGGTATTGATTTGATTTGATTTATTTATTCTTTCAAACATGTAACAACAATCAGTATATAACCACACATAATTCCAGACATATCCACAAATATATTTTCAATTTGCTTATACCTAGAACATGCTTGAACGGAGTAGGAAGAAGTTAGACTTATCTAGTCCTACCCCCTAACATCATCTTATCATCATTGGTTTGCAAGCAGTATTACTACATGGATACATATTCTACATCCACACTCCCATCTGATTAATCATTAAGCCTGTTCTTGCCCATATCTTGATTGACACATACCTTTATATCTATGTTTAAACTCATCAATTTTCCTACTGTTTTTTTATGTCCACACTTAGATTATTCCATAGTTTTACTCCACTTATGGAAATACAGAATCTTTTTTTGGTTGTACGTATAGCATGAATTTTATAATTCACCAACAAGAACTTTTAATATGTATATTTAGCAGTCACAGAGACAATGTATTATGATAGAAAGTCTCAAATGTATTCAACTGCACAGTCACTGTTTTCATTAAGGAACATGAGTGTGATAATATATTGTGCTCTACCTCCTGTTTGAACAGATGGATTTCTTGTCAGTGCACATCGAATATAACTGTGACTCTGCATCAAACTTCGCAGAGGAGCTGAGGAGCTTACAGGTGCAGTAAATTTTATAGGGTGTTTTTCTTTTGCATTTCATATCTTGTGGTACTATTACCTACAGCCACATGCATGTTGTGTTGTAGAGGTCCAGTGGGAACTTGCCTATACTGATATACAAGATGACGGTTCATGATTGTTTGTACAGACAACATCAGCTTCTTGGACATTTTCTACAAGGTAAATGTCATCATAGCTCACTTAAGGTTCCTCTGTTATCCAGTTTTTTACAAAATAATAAACACAAATAACCTCTTGGTGCCACTGCCTCTTTCTCTGTGCTGCAACACTGCCTCGCTGTTCTTCCATCAAATGAAAATGGATTTTTTGCCTAAGAAATTCTCTCAATCTAATGGAGAATTTTTTAAATTAATAATGTGCCCGCAGTTCTAATAACAACTGGCATGTTGTGAATTGTCAACATTATTTTCACACAATTTGCAATAAATACAGCTGTTTAAAGACGGTATGTAGCATCAAAACAGTGACCAGCACTATCTGGACCAATGTGGTTTTAAGGACCAAACCTTCACGCAGCGTCAAGGCCAGACTGCAGCAAACTGCAATGTCGTAAACTTTTACAGTACAATAATCATAAAAGTTGTTTCTTGATAATTATCATACAACAGTGATTTGAGTAAATTGTTAGTGTTAATATGTGTCAAATTACACAATTACCATCAATTAAACAATCTGTCCTGCAGTCTTACTGCGTCCCACTGTCTTGCAAGCTGTCATGTCTTCCTACAGGCGACATCTACCCTGCACCACCTTCCTTTGCACATTCAACAAACTAAATTAAAAAGAAATTAGCCAATATGTCAACAAAATAAACTATATGAAGACATTTTAAGCACCAAAATCAATTTTTATTTGTGTATGACTGCATATTTTATTTATGTCAGACAATTAACTATCACTAACTTTGTCTTCACAGTCCTGAACAACAGAGACCTGAATATTGTTGGATGTGACATGAAGGACATGTTGGGTGAGCTGGACATGCAGGACGCTCAAGCCAGGTGAGACTTTTTTCTTGGCAAAACTGCACTGATTGATATGTATCACTAAAGTTTATCAAATATTTATGTAATTTTATGTCCATCTGTTTTCCAAAAGTCACAGTATTCCAGACTACACAGAAAAGACAATGTTCAGAAACAGCTACCAGAGTGTGTGGGAAAAGTTTGGGGCCCAGACTACCATGGAACGAGATCTTTTCCTTGAAGATTCATTCCCCTTTGGTTTCCAGTGGGCCACCTCCAGTGAGTCCTTCAAGGTTGAAGGTGGCTGGTTAGAAGGTGGGAAGGGTGAGACCATTTGGGACCGTTTTGGTCATGATGGCCTAGCCTTTGCAAATCAGACAGCTGATCTAGCTTGTGACAGTTACCACAAAGTGGATTACGATGCTTACCTTCTGCGAGGTCTTCATGTCAACACCTACCAGTTTTCTATCTCCTGGGCTCGTGTTTTCCCCTCGGGTCTCAGAGGCACCCAATCAGAGGAAGGGGCTCTCTACTATGACAAGCTGATCAATGCTCTCATTGATTCTGGCATACAACCTGTTGTCACTCTTTACAACTGGGATCTGCCCCAGGCACTCCAGGACTTTGGAGGATGGACCCACACTTCCATTGTTGAAGCCTTCAAGGACTATGCAGACTTCTGCTTCTCCAGGTTTGGAGACAGGGTCAAGACCTGGAACACATTCAGTAGCCCCTGGGTTGTGAGCCATGCTGGGTATGGCACTGGTGAGCATCCCCCCGGAGTAAAGGACTATGTGGTTTCCTCCTATCTGGTAAGATCAATAGTATTTTATATATTAGAAATACATGTTAATACGATTTGGTATCAGGGCAATCTAAGGATATTTTAATAGATTTGTGTTGGTTAAAATAAAGCCAATCAAATCCCAATCCCTATTTACTTGTATACTCTAGTGCTCTTGACCAGGGGGTCTCTCTCTCTCTCCTCTGGAATTCCTCTCCATTCCCAGCTCTGTGTGTCGAGCAGAGATGTGAGCTGCTCCCTGACACACACATAGAAACCAGTGGAGTGAAGCAGAGAGGAGGCTGCACTTTTCTTGAGAAGGCCACTTTGTTCTCTAACCATATGTGCAGCAAAATCTGCCAATAATGGAAAACAGCTGTTAAAGAAGCAGAAGACAAACTTGCAAAAATATGACATCTTTATGGCTTTGCCTGTAGTCAACTTGCTCAGCGAGCTGAAAACAAACATAAATTTTAATGTGTTGAGTCCTAGTAACTATGCATAAAAAAATTATTAGAATTTTTGTAGATCCTGAGGTTGAGAAAGCTTAAGGCAGAATATGATGTTTTCTCATGAGTGAGAAAGGCAAAGGTGACATCAGCACAGCACATTTAAGCACTGGATCAGACTTTGTATTGATACCCAATATTAAGGAATATTATCAAAGCAGTCTTCATTTTTATAAATGTACATTACATTATCTTTCATCTTTGCAGGCTACTCACAATATGCTCAAGTCCCATGCTGAAGCCTGGCATGTCTACAATGACAAGTACAGGCTGAAACAAGGAGGGAAAGTAGGCATTGCACTGAACTCTGACTGGGCTGAGCCCATGGACCCCTCCAGTCCTGAAGACATAGCAGCTGCAGATCGTTACCTACAGTTAATGCTGGGCTGGTTTGCACATCCTATATTTGTAGATGGAGATTATCCTGCAACACTCAAGACTCAGATTGAAGAGAAAAAAAGAGAGTGTCCCCACTCGGAGCCTGCAAGGCTTCCAGTTTTCACTCCTGAAGAGAGAAAGAGGATACAACGAACAGCTGACTTTTTAGGTTTAAACCACTACACCTCCCGTCTGGTCAACAGCAGTGATGGCGGCTGTACCCCTGGTCCTCAGGGTGTTGGTGACTACCAGGCACATGTGGACCCATCGTGGTCCTCTACAGCATCTGAATGGATATATTCTGCGCCTTGGGGTCTCCGAAGGCTTCTGAACTACATTTCCACAGAATACTTGAATACTAACAAAGTGCCTATCTTTATAACTGGCAATGGGATGCCCACTGAGTACAGTGGGGACACTCTCAATGACACCAGCAGAACAGAATACATGAGGCATTACATCAACGAGGCCCTCAAAGGTTAGTGTCTGGATTTTCTGATAGGAAACAAATTTTGACACTGTTGAAAAAATTTTAACATCATTGTGCTGTTGTGTGTTTATTTTGTAGCAATAGTTTTAGACGGAGTGGATGTGCAACGATTTACAGTGCAGTCACTCATGGATGGATTTGAAGGGAAACAAGGCTACAGCCATAGGTTTGGTCTGCACCATGTCAACTTTGAAGATGCAGACAGACCAAGAACACCAAAGCAATCTGTATATTTCTACTCTCAGCTTATCAAGCAAAATGGATTTCGTTCACACAAAAGTGATGGTTTTAAAGGGGTAAAGATTCAACCCACTCGCCGCCCCACTGCTTTATCATCCTCAGAGGTTCCATCTAAATCAAAAACTGTCTGGGAGAAATTCTCACACCAGTCTAAATTCCAGAGAAAAATGTATCACTATGGTACATTCCCCCAAGGCTTCAGCTGGGGAGTATCATCTTCTGCTTATCAGATTGAAGGTGCCTGGAATGCTGATAGGAAGGGGCCCAGCATCTGGGATACATTCACCCAGAAACCTGGTAGCATCCCTGGTAATAGCAGTGGAGATGTGGCCTGTGACAGCTACCACAGACTTGAAGAAGACTTCTACATGCTTCGAGCTCTGAGGGTGAAGTCATACAGATTCTCTCTGTCCTGGTCTAGGATCTTTCCTAATGGTCGGCATCCCTCTCTGAGCCAGAACGGTGTTGACTACTACAACAGGCTCATTGATGGCCTCTTAGCATATAACATTACCCCCATGGTGACACTCTATCATTGGGACCTCCCCCAAGCTTTGCAAGACCTCGGTGGCTGGGAAAACATAGACATGATTAACATTTTTAATGAATTTTGTGACTTTTGCTTTGCCACTTTTGGAGACAGAGTGAAATTTTGGATGACCTTCAACCAGCCTCATACTATTGCATGGTCAGGATATGGTCTTGGAGAGATTCCACCAAATGTTAAAAATCCAGGAATTGCACCATACAGAGTCGCACACAACCTGATTAAAGCTCACGCCAAGGTCTACCACACATATGATGATAAGTACCGTGCCTCTCAAGGTGGTCTGATATCCATCGCCCTCAATGCTGACTGGATTGAACCTAAAGATGTTAACATTTTCCGAGAAGTGCTGGCTGCTGACCGCGCCCTGCAGTTCAAACTGGGTTGGTTTGCACACCCTATTTTCAAGAATGGGGACTATCCCGATGCAATGAAGTGGCAAGTCGGAAACAAAAGTGAACTTCAAGGTCTTTCAAATTCAAGACTACCTGCCTTCACTGAACAAGAAAAGAGCTTCATAAGAGGAACTGCTGACATGTTCTGTGTAAATCACTACACTACACAAATTGCACGCCATGCTACACTGAGACTTTCACCTCAGTCTTACAAATATGACCATGATTTGTTAGAAGCAGAAGAAAGTGGTTCACCATCTACAGCCATCACAAACCAGAGAGCTGTAGCATGGGGCTTGAGAAGACTTCTCAACTGGATCAAGGAGGAGTATGGAGATCCAGAGATTTACATTACTGAGAATGGAGTAGCTACAGACTCAAAGACAACTTGGGATGACACTGGCAGAGTATTTTATTACAAGACCTATATTGATGAGGCTCTCAAAGGTATACTGTGCCATAAATAGATTTCTTAAGATAATTATAAACTGAAATGACTATTTAGATATTTATTCTTCATCATTTATTTATGCATTTGTGTATATTTTAATAACAGCCTCTGACATTGATGGTGTGAAGGTGAAAGGATACATAGCAACCTCTCTTATGGATTCTTTTGAGTGGCTTAATGGATACAAAGTTGGATTTGGGTTACACCATGTGGACTTCACTAATCCAAACCGACCAAGGACACCCAAGTACTCAGCCCATTTCTACTTTCGGAAAGATTTCATTTGGAGTGTTTCAACGGCATCATATCAGGTAATCGTTTAGATTAAGTCCCTTTATTAATGCTGGATCAGGGAATTGTACATGTACTCCCTATTTAAATCTCTGTTTCTATTTACTTTCCAGATTGAAGGGGGGTGGAGAGCAGATGGAAAAGGTCTCAGTATTTGGGACAAGTTTGCTCACACTCCTCTCAAAGTGTTCAATGATGACAATGGGGACATAGCCTGTGACAGTTACAATAAAATAGAAGAGGATGTTGCTATTTTGAAGCAACTAAAGGTGACCCATTATCGTTTCTCCATATCCTGGTCGAGGGTGCTTCCTGATGGTACCACCAAGCACATCAACGAGGCTGGAATCAACTACTACCACAGACTGGTGGATGCACTCCTTGCTGCAAACATTGAACCGCATGTATGTGTAATTGCTGCCAGCATATCAAAAAATATTTGCAGTGAAAAAGTTGGTAAATTAGGTAAACCATAATTGTGTTCCTTTGCTGTCAGGTCACTCTCTATCACTGGGACCTTCCACAAGCTCTGCAGGATACTGGAGGGTGGGAGAATGAAGCAATTGTCTTCAAGTTCAGGGATTACGCTGACCTCATATTTAGCCGTTTTGGTCACAAAGTGAAATTTTGGATCACCATTAATGAACCGTACAATGTAGCCAACATAGGCCATGGATATGGAACAGCTGCGCCAGGTATGTCTTAATATAGTGCCCCCATTCTTACACATTACCTCACACCAATGTATACTTGTTTATTTGATTTGAATAACAGATTAAAAAGTTGCTCTGCCATTTAGTATTTTGTTTTGTAAGTAGCACCAAGTGATAAAATCAGTAAGAGAACTAAAATTAAAATCGCAGTTGAGTTAAAGATCACAACCTGTGTGTTTTGAAACACTGTTTTCTCTAAACCAATTCTTAATCTTTCTAAAGAACAATGACAAAAAGCATGTAGCTAAACAAATCTGCAAATCAAATCAAATCAAATTTTATTTGTATAGCGCCAAATCACAACGAAAGTCATCTCAGGACACTTTACAAAGTAAGGTCTAGACCTTACTGTTATCAATATTATTACATAGGGAAAACCCAACAAATCCCCCTTGAGCAAGCACTTGGCGACAGTGGGGAGGAAAAACTCCCTTTAACGGAAGAAACCTCCGACAGACCCCGGCTCTTGGTGGGCGGCCTTCTGCCTCGACCGGTTGGGGTGAGTGGATAGAGGAGAGACAAAAGAAGAAAAGCAACAAGACACAACAATCAAACACTGATCAGGTTGATGTGGCTGGTGACTGCTCGTCAGAGATGTAGAGCTCCAGGGCCAGGGCAACCTGCAGAAAAGTACAGGGAGAGAGAGAGGACACACTACGGGAGAGAGGAGACACAAAGTTAGTAATGTGTAATGGTGGCATATAGAAGCACAGGGAGAGAGAGGAGAGAAGAGGAGAGGAAAGGTAACTAAGGGAAGGCTCAGGGTCACCTGATCCAGCCTTAACTATAAGCTTTATCAAAAAGGAACGTCTTAAGTCTAATCTTAAAGGTAGAGAGGGTGTCCGCCTCCTGAACTGAGACTGGGAGTTGGTTCCATAGGAGAGGAGTTTGATAGCTAAAGGCTCTGCCTCCCATTCTGCTTCTGTGGACTCTAGGAACCACAAGTAAACTTGCACTCTGAGAGCGAAGTGCTCTGTTAGGATGATAAGGCTCTATGAGGTCTTTAAGATACGATGGAGCCTTGTCATTAAGGGCTTTGTATGTTAGGAGAAGGATTTTAAATTCTATTCTGAATTTTACAGGGAGCCAGTGGAGAGAAGCTAATATGGGAGAGATATGATCTCTCTTGCTCGTTCCTGTCAGTCCTCTGGCTGCAGCATTTTGGATTAACTGGAGGCTTTTTAGGGAATTATTGGGATATACTTATAGTAAAGAGTTACAGTAGTCCAGCCTGGAAGTGACAAATGCATTGACCAGTTTTTCATCATCACTTTGAGACAGGATGCTCCTGATTTTTGCAATATTTCGCAGGTGAAAGAAGGCAGTTTTAGAGACTTGGTTTATGTGTGATTTAAAGGACATATTCTGATCAAAGATGACTCCAAGGTTCCTCACAGTAGTACTGGAGGCAAGAGCTATGTCATCTAAAGTAACTATATGATTAGACAGCAGATTTCTAAGGTTTTCAGGCCCAAGCACAATAACTTCAGTTTTGTCAGAGTTTAGAAGTAAGAAGTTGCAGGTCATCCAGGCCTTTATGTCTTTAAGACATGCTTTAAGACACCAAAAATAAATAAATCACATTTCATGGCACGTCGCCAACATATTCAGAATCGGCCGTGGGTATTACTGCGCAGACACAAAGAGTGCCAGTCTGTATCTCAAAGGAAAGGTCAGGATACAAGATATTTAAAATGTAGCATGTCTTGCAAATGTGTCTATTCGTACGTGCATTTTCAGGGATCAGTCTCAGACCAGGCACTCTACCCTACATTGTGGGTCACCACCTTATTAAAGCTCATGCTGAGGCCTGGCATCTCTACAATGACACATATCGTGCCAGCCAGAAAGGAATTATCTCCATCACCATCAACTCTGACTGGACAGAACCCAGAAATCCATACAAGCAGGAGGACATTGATGCTGCAAGACGTGTACTGCAGGTACAAAAATAAATGAATAAATAAATCTTGCTAAGTTTTACAGGGGCAACATGATGGCACAGTCAAGAAGGGTCTGGGTTTGGGCCCCGGCCGACCCGGGGCCTTTCTGTGTGGAGTTTGCATGTTCTCCCTGTGCCTGTGTGGGTCCTCTCTGGGGACTATGGCTTCCTCCCACAGTCCAAAGACATGCAGCTTAGGATGATTTGTGACTGAATTGCCCGTAGGAGTGAGTTTGGGTGTGTGTGGTTGTTTGTCTTTAAGAGTCAGCCCTGTGATAGACTGGCGACCTGTCCAGGGTGGACCTCACTTCTCGCCCAATAAGAGCTGGGGTTGGCTCCAGCCCCCCAGTGACCCTGTTCAGGATAAGCGGTATAGATAATGGATGGATGGATGGAAGTTTTACAGGTCTTGTGATTTGCAGGATCTCATTGTACATGTATATTTCTCTCATATTTTATTGTAAATATGTTTGGCAATAATTAGCGTCTCTAATGGCTTTTGTGTCTCTCTTTGTACAGTTCTACATTGGCTGGTTTGCCCATCCCATATTTAATGGAGACTACAATGACATAATGAAGACAGTCATTCGAGAGCGAAGCTTAGCTGCTGGTCTGCCAAAATCTCGGTATTATAAAAACTAATGTTAAAATCTCAAAGCCTGTACCATTATTTTAGAATTATCAAGTTCATTCACTTATTTCACTTCATTTTCTCCAGGCTGCCTGAGTTTTCTCTAGAGGAAATTAAGAGGATTAAGGGCACCTATGATTATTTTGGGTTCAACCATTACACCACTGTCCTGACATCCCCTGTGAATTATGGAAAGCTTCAGCACTATGATGCTGACAGGTAAGCAAGTACCAACAAGTACAATTACCTCCTTAGCTGTACTCATGTGCTGTTACAGCTTGTAAAACAATTAATTAAGGAGAAAAAAAATCATTTTCTTGCTTTATTTGAATTTAAATATTTCTGAAATAAAATAAGTTCATCAATTTGATCTTCACAGGGGTGCAGGGTTAATTGCTGATCGTACCTGGCTGGATTCAGGTTCATCCTGGCTGAAGGTCTCACCATTTGGATTCCGGAAGATTTTAAACTTTATTAAGAAGGAGTACGGAAATCCACCTATTATCATCACTGAGAATGGCATCTCAGAGCGGGGGCCTTTCAACCTAAATGATATTCACAGGAGCTATTACTATGAAAAATACATCAACCAGATGCTAAAAGGTATTAACCTACAACTTTCATATAGGAATACAATAAGAAGAGAGCGACAATTTTCCAAAGTCAAACCAACGATTTGATAGTATAAATGGTGTGCATTTGCATTCCTAAAAGTGTTCATTTTCTCCTTCCAGCTTACTTACTAGATGACGTGGATATCCGTGGTTTCACAGCTTGGACGCTGATGGACAACCTGGAGTGGGCCACTGGCTTTGAGGAGAGATTTGGCCTTTTCTATGTCAATAGATCAGACCCTAATCTTCCTCGAGTGCCCAAGGCCTCTGCTGCCTTCTACACTACTCTAATCAACTGCAACGGATTCCCTGATCCTGCCTTGGGGCCCCATGAGTGTTTGAACCCTGTCCTTGAAGGTAAACTGCAGAGGTCTGACTGACTAATATGAAGAACACATAAACATGCAGTAGAAGCTTTACTTAGTTGATTATTTAACATACAAAATACAGTGCCTATATTTTCTTGAGTAGGCAACTGTGATTACTGTGATTATTAACCCCACTTTTATCAAGGCCTAAGCAATAGCGTGTCATTTAAAGTTTTACAGCTTAATTTTAATCAGTATCAGTATCAAGACAGAGCCAAAAGACTTAGCTTATCTTAACATGGCATGCAAGATTGTAAACTGGGATAAATAGCTAGCACAACTCTATCAAAAGGTTATAAAAAATTAGCAAGCAGCACTTTTAACACTCATTAACTATAACTTTGTATCTCTTTAATCTTTACAAAAATCATGAAGTTGCATTTTCACAGGTTGTGTGTGGGACAATTTCTTAATCGACCTGAATAAGAGATGTAGCATGTTGATTTGTGAGCTTTAGTCATATTTTATGACCTTTGGACAGAGACAGGCTAGATGTTTCCTCATGCCTTCAGTCATTATGCTGAGCTAAAGCCAACTGTCTGCAGGCTCTGGCTGTTTAATGGAGCACTATAGGAGTGGTTCTCATCTAACTCCGAAGAAAGCAAATAAGTGCTTTTCACCAAAATATTCTTTAATACTAAAAGTACATTTAGTGATAGTGGAACTTAAGATTTTGTGAACTGGTAGGTTTATTTACACTTGCTGTCAGCAATCTGTTAAAAATGAATACAATAACCCAGGTGTCTCTGTGTCTCTCCTACAGGGACGAGCGCACCTGTGCGGACAAGTGCACCTGCGGGGACGAGTGCACCTGTACGGACGACTGCACCTGCGGGGACGAGTGCACCGATCACTAACAATGCTGTGAGATTCCTGGGTATGGAGCTCTTTGCAAGTGATGCTGAGACTGGACTTAACACCACCTTTGCTCTACTGATTGTTGCTGTGTTTGGAGTTATTTGTTCATCCTTTTGATTCTTCAGGGCAAGAAAACAATCCAGCAAAATAAAGTCTGTAACAACTATAAACATGGAGAATAAATTTTAAATGCACCTGTGCAGAGTTGTAGTACAAGTTCAACATGCACCAAGTTGTATCAGTAAATGTCTGAGCTGCAACTTTATAGAAACACTAGTGTATAAAATTACCTGCATGTTAATAAAGATGATAAAATATTTTGATTCAGGGTGTAAAATCTCAATATCTGTCATAAGACATGGTTAAATTAATGTATTCATTTCTCTTTTATCCAAAAACATTACTAGTTACTCTCAAGTCTATGAAACATTATGATAATAAAAGTAATAAATTTCTCAATGAGCCACATTATTTGACTTTTGTGCTACTGATATCCCGTAAAAGACTCCAACATTTTACAGTACAATTACAGAAACAAGCCCACAAAGACATTTCAACTCAAAGCTACCAGTGGCTGCTGGATTACAATTTGTCACTTGGTATATCTTTTTGTTTGTTTTGTTACCAGATATAATAGAAACAGTAGGCTATTATGTAGAAGTCACTTCATGCCACAATAGGGCACAATAGATTTACATTTCCCCTTTTGCACGTTTGCACTGCCTCCTGTACCTGCAAGAAGGACATGTGGAGATATGTCAGTGATGTGGTCTAAGTTGTTATTTCTGAAACATCAAGTCACAAAGAGCCAGAATTATCATATCCACTGGTATAAAGTTATAAAAATGTCTTCTTATGATAATCAAAAGTGCAAATGGCATGATAAAACCATAAGATGCACTGTATATTTTGCACTGGCTTTTCTGACTCAGGTCCTCAGCAACATTAATGGTGGCTCAGCTGAAAGTCAAAAATCTAAATCGACCACAATTTTCCAAGCAAAAGAAGCTAAAGGCCTAAACCATATCACGCCCATACAGCATAACAGTCTGAGTAACTGTGCAGGTCTTACATCCAGTTTAACTGCACCTGTGCTCAGTTTCTGCAGTTAACTCTTCCACAGTATAGCTGGAAAAAAAAAAGCCTTTCACTTTACAGAAATTAAAGTAGGCACCCTGAAAAGTTTCTTTATTTGAATGTTATTTGTGTATGCAAGCCCATAAAAAAAAATAAAGAACAAACACCAAGATTTTAGTCAAGTGCTGTCGCACTCACCAGTAATTGGAACCGGGCACTTCGAGCTAGTAGAAAATCAAGAGTGAAACAATTTGAAAATTGGCATTTCTTAAAAATTTATTTCAAAAACTAACCACAAGGTACAAAAGTATTTAAAAAAGTATAAAAATCATTGGTCAAAAATAACTTGAGATGACAATATTCGAGTTGGCACTAATGGCATGTGGGTATGACTCCGTACAGAAGTTGTGATTTTAGCATCGCACATTCAAGCCACTGAATTCACATTGAGATGATCATTTTGATTGCAACCCTCGTCTGGACTCTGAAACAGAAATCAGCCCTTTCAGACATGGAAGATGAACGTAACATATGGCATTATCCCTTATTTAACCAACCAACTTATTTAACCGTCAAAGACGATATGTACCCTATAGAAGCTCTAAGCCAAAAACTGTAGTTACTAAACAAGAAAAGCAGCTGAACGCAAATTCGTACCAAAACAAATTCAAAATGCAGAGTCAGGCTTCGGAGAGCTAAGACAGCAGTGAATGTCATTCTTTAAAACAAAAAGAAGGAAAATAAGTGTTGGCCACAGTGACAAGAGCTTCTTTTCATTGTCACAATACCCTAAACTAACAGAAAAATATGGAATAGTATCAAATACAAGTTAAATCAATATCAAGAGTTACATGTTTTTCAAGCATTATCCAGGTTCGTTTACTCCTTTGGACAAAAGGCACCCCAAGTGTGTTCCAGTTACTCTACCAGGCACCAGGACTTGAATGTGACTGGTGCAGTGTCAACGTTGTCAAAATAAGTGACACACTTGAAGGAAACCTCTGTATGAAAATGAACAGAAAGTCTTCATTAGCATGTCCAGTCCAGTAGCCTTCTTCTGAGAGTGGTGTGTTGTCCATTAACCTTTTGTTGGCACCTACAGGTACTCGCGCACTCACTGGTCACTTCATCGCAGCACACAACTCTTCTCCACTACAACTGACTTGACCTTACCTCAACAAAATGTCATAACATGGAGTTCCAGTTTAGGTCTAAGGCAAATATGAGATGAACTCACTGCGAACTTCAGAGAACAAATTCGTAAAATTTACTAATACCACTAAAACTCATAATAAAAATACTAAAGAAAAAAGTTTAAAGGATAGCTGCCCTGAGGGAGAAGTACATTTCAACAATAACTGTTGCACAACGGAACTTTGTAAGCACTTTGGATGTTCAGACAGTCTGCTGTCTCAAGTATTGCTGGGTTGAGACGAGCATTCTCGTTCTCATTTGACTTGACTGGTCATAACACTGAAAGGCTCGGGCTGACTTTATCCACCTCAAGTGAACTTTCGACATCGCACGCACACACACACACACACACACACATACACACACACACACACACACACATGCACACACTCCCTTTGTTTGATTCCCTTATGTTTGCTCACTGCTCCTGATGTGAACTGCCAGTGACAAGCTATGCACGAAGACCTGTGAACAGAGATGGCATCAGTGTTAGTAAAGCCCTTTATTTTGATCACATGATAACAATAAGTGAAAGTACAAGTGAAAAAAATGAAACAATGAAAGGACAAAAAGGTAAAAGCGCCACCTTTCTCACATGTACTGCTCTGCTTCTCCTGGGCGAAGTTCAGCCTGTTCTGCTCTACTGCGGTGCCATTGGACTCTGGGCTGCTGCTGCGGGACGGGCTGTTCTCCTCATTCTGGTACGCCATATCCAGATGCTGCTGGGCCAGTTTAAGATGTCTGCGCAGCCTCTCCAGCTCCCGTGATGTAGCTTCATCCCCAAATGACTCGCGACCCGAGTCTCCCACGTTATCCCTAAAGCCCATTTTTCCTGTTGGGTCCTTCTTCAGAGCTGTGTGGTAGCCTGGAGGTGCAGAGGGCTGGCGGGAGATGGAGGACCTCTGGCTGGCCAGAGCCGAGTGACGAGGGGTGGGAGGTCGAGACCGTGGTGTGCAAAAGCAGTCACGAATACCGCTGATGCCAAGGTGAAGGATCTCCAGCAGGGTGAAGAGCAAACATAAGGCGCTGACGGCATACATGATGATCAGGAAGATTGTTTTCTCTGTAGGGCGTGAGACAAAGCAATCTATTGTGTGCGGGCAGGGGGAGCGTGTGCATACATATGACGGTGCCACCTCCAGCCCATAAAGGATGTACTGTCCAAACAGGAAACAGGCCTCGAAGATGGCACGTGACAGCAGCTGAAACACATAGACCTTCATCAGGCCATCTTTTTTGATGCGGCGGCGTCCATCATGCTTTTTGCTGGGTTTCTCCACAACTTCCTTTTCCTTTTCCTTTTCTGGCTCAATCTCCTCCATGATCATGGGGTCCTCCTCCCCATTATCCTCTGCCTCCTCGTAGTCCCGGTTGGCCCCACGGCTCACTATAGGGATCCTCTTCCTGCCGCGGGGTCTGTAGTCCTCGTCACCCATTCGGGCAATCTTATGCATAGCAAAGCCAAGGTACATAATGGTGGGGGTGGTGATCATAATGACCTGAAAGACCCAGAAGCGAATGTGCGACAGTGGTGCAAACGCATCATAGCACACATTCTCACAACCGGGCTGCTGTGTGTTACACACAAATTTACTCTGTTCATCATAGTAAATTGACTCGCCCCCAACTGCTGTCAGCACGATGCGGAAAACAATGAGGATTGTGAGCCAGATCTTGCCCACAAAGGTGGAGTGATTGTTGATCTCATCTAACAAACGTGTGAGGAAACTCCAGCTCATTTTGCCGCTTCAGCAAGAAGGAACCTCTCAAACCTGTGCAGAGAGAGAGAGAGAGACAACAATTGTGTTTAAATATCCTTTTAAATGCAGCCATCAGTGGAGTAGTTACTGACATTTGGGCATCACTGAAAACTTTGTCTCATGACAAAACATTTTGTTAACACAAATCAACATATGCAGGCCAGATAAAGGACAGCAGTTCACAAAGGGAGAATTATTAGAAACAAAGTTTTTAAATGATGAAGACATTTAAATATGGCAAACAGTTTAGGCTATGATAAATGTTAACCAGTATAAAGAAAGTTAGAAAATGTAATAATATCCCTAGTTATCCTAACTGACTTAAAGTAATGTAACTAATAATTCTGGTATAGTGATTTTAAGATTGCTCATCTTGACTCCCTATGTTATTGTACCAAAGAGCCACAAGGTGGAGCTCTTGTGTTACTGTCACATAAAGTAAGGCAATAGCTCAAAATGCAGAGGAAATTTTAGTGGAATTTTGAGAAACATCAGCCAAATTATGAATGAATCCCTTCCACTGCCACTGTGCGGAGGAGGGGTTGGATCATAGAGATGAACAACTGGCGGTGCTAATTCTGTGGACAACTGCCAGTAAACCACTGGGGAAGAAGAGTGCAACAAGGTGGTGTAATTAAAAGGCTGCCAGTCGACCCTCAACCGCTTCAACAAAAGGTAAGAAATATGAAGTGACATTTTTTGCCTGATTCATGTAGCGGCCTCACTGCTCCACAGAGATCTGTTTTGTTCTGTGGTTGAAGTCACACGATGCTGTACATCATGATTAATTCACAAAGTCTGTTTCCACTGCACTTTGTCTTTATCAACAGAGCACGTTTTCCATCTCAGCCAAGCATAAAAACTTTAGTAATATTTCAAGTTTTTTTTTTTTTTTAATCAAATTTCTGGTGTTTCCACAAATTGAAAACATGCACATAAACTGGTGGATGGAAAAACCAACCCTCACTACCACAATAGGGGCATGTTAAGGCACAGATTCTAAGTCACGTACAACCAAACTTACCTAAAGACTGGTGCGAACACATGCTACCACGTCAGTAAGTAGGGTGCACGAAGGTGACACAGCAAAGGCTATGAGCCCCGGTGTTCACATTTTTAAAACTGTAGCCACACGTCTGAAAAGCACCAGCAAATACCCAGACTTGTAATCTGTTCTATAATCTCTAAACCAATGGCCTTAACCAGGATTCCCACCATGTCAACATAGCAGTAAGTGATCAGTGACTGGTGCTGGCTACGACCAGCTGTGCTGTACAACTAAGCAGCACTCAAGGCTGTATTTCCATTGCTCGCCACATGTGAAATGCCACAGCAACTGTACACAATCCTCCTCATCTCACCTGAATGTCATATACACACTGGAACAGTCATGTCTTAAAAACCTGAACAGGTCTGACACATCACAGAAAAGATCATTCACACACACTGCAGAGGCAATGAAGAGCTGCAATGGTTTGGCACCATTGGTGACTAACCACATAACTTCTGTGGAGTAATTATCCACTACTATAAACTATACTACAGTAGCTGTGGCAAGCAGCTGAACAACAACAGAGTGTTTATTGTAACGTAAAAAGGATTCTACTATTCCCTCCCTCAGTTCAACTCTCACTGCTCCGGACCAGGGCTGAAAATGTGGAGAAATCATAAATCTTAGAATTTGCAGATTGTTCTTCTTTATAACAACCAATCTCAAAGATCAGCACAAGCTTAAGTAGATATCTGACAGTACTGTACATTAAAGGAATCTTGGCCCTTCACAGCAATCGACTGAACCATACATCTTGAATAGTGTGGCAGCACATTCAATCTCATTATGTCTGCAGGGCTAAACAAACAAACAGACACAAATCTTTAAAAGTATATAATGTCACAGATTACCTACTCAAATATTGTCTGTGAATATGACATTTTACTGCAGTTACATAATTTAGCTTTAGTTGCTACTCACCCACAGGACTAGAAGGTCCTGTGGGTGAGTAGCAGCATAACATTAAAGGGGGGGTAACACTGTGACCGCCATCCTGGAGAGACCAAAATGTCCCTTTATAATACAATAATATACCTACTCCTTCTAATAGCCAGCGTTTCACTCTGCCTTCCTGCACAACCGTTCAGATCAGGTGTAAACTTTTGATTAAGGCTTAGGCTCTATAAGGCACTGGTGGAAAAAGTACTCAGATCTGTTACTTAACCATTAAAACCATTTGTATCATATTTGCTGCATGAGTTTCTGAGTGAAAAAAAAAAAAAAAAAAAAAAACACCAAAGCAAAAACATCAAAAGTTCCCCATGTATCAAATGTAATACAAAAAAATAATAATTATAATCTAAATAACATGGCACATCTATTCCTATATGCCTGGACTGTGTCTATGCATAGATGGCAAATAAAAATCCTGAATCTTGAATTTTCTTTTTGTTAAAAGGTTTAATAAACATGTCAGTTCCAAAAAATTTGAATGTTCTGGCTATTTTTTGATGTGTCGGGCTTTACAGGGTTAAGTAAAGGGAGCAGCAGCAGTAAAAGTAACAAGTCCTGCATTCAAAATGTTACTTAGGTACAAAAGCATTAGCGTCAAAATGCCACATTTAACAATGTATGGATTATAGTTACTAATATTGTGTGCATCACAATGTTGCAGCTGGTAAAGGTGGAGCTACTTTTAACTAATTTATATGCTTATAATTTTAACTGCTGCTGGGTAGCTTGTGAATTTTCCAGTAGAAATCAATAAAATCTTATGATTAAACAGTATTTTTTGTGAAAATCTGTTTGTTTTTTTAAGGGAACCACTAAAGATAAAATAAGTGAAGTAAAAAGTACAATATTTGCCTCTAAAATGTAGTGAACTCAAAGTATGAAGTAGCACAGAATGAAAATACTCAAGTAAAAAAAAAAAAAACTCAAAATCCTACCCAAGTACAGTAGATGATGTTTATCAG